TTTATCCCATTACGTCGTAAATGTGAAGAGTTTGTTGTAACAACATTTATTGTCTCTTTTATTTTTAGCTCTAAACAACAATTTAATTTTGACTTAAAAAATAAAAAATAAAAATAAAAATAAAATAAAATAAAATAAAATATACTTTTCGTGTACATGTCGTGTAACACTCTCATGTATGAATTACCAAAAAAGTAAATGAATATATAAAATCACTAATTTACCCAAAAAAAAAAAAAATTATATATATATATAGAAAAGCAGATGGAAGAGAAATTAAGATTGAAGGAGAGTGATGTGTATTAATACCATATGAGTAAGGTAATGATTAGCATATTATAACAACATTTGCCAAGTATCCTACGGAGTTGTTTTCATTAGCATATTAGTGATTTTAGATATTTAACTATTAGAATTTGGTATAATGATAAAATCTCAAACATATAAGTTTATATTCAAATGTCCAAAAGTAATCATTTTAGATAAAATAATAAAAATAAATCATTAACATATTTTTTCCCCTGAAAAGTCAAGTAAATGTACCCAAATCAATAATATTCTTCTTAGTTGAATTCGAATTTCACAATTATATCATTTAAACCAACGCCCATTACTATTTTTTATTTATTTATATTAGGTGTAATATTAAGATGTCGGAGCGTTCCTTGTCAAAACCAACTCAAAATTGCCTTTCGATTCCAATAGGAGAAGAATTAGAATGAAGCCGTCTATATGGTTTGGCTTTTTAAGGAGAATTAGTTCTTGTTATTTCCATTGAATATTGAGGAATTATATTTCTCCATTTTTTCGGCTGCCATAAAAAAAAAAAAAATGGTTGGCGTTACCATACAAGACTTTAAAAAGATTATTTTGATGGGAAAGACTTATTTTATTGTGTTGTAGACTAATTATTGATAGTACATAGTTTTATTTTGATGGGAAAGGCTTATTTTATTGTGTTGATTAGACTAATTATTGATAGTACGTAGTTTTATTTTGATGGGAAAGACTTCTTTTATTGTGTTGATCATTAGACCAATTATTGACACTAGTAGTACTTAGTTTTATTCTGATGGGAAAGGCTTATTTTATTGTGCTGATTAGACTAATTATTGATAGCACGTAGTTTTGTTTTAATGGGAAAGGCTTATTTTGTTGCGTTGATTAGACTAATTATTGGCAGTGGGTAGTTTTAATTATTCCTTCTGTCCCATTTTAAACGACACATTTGAAAATTGTGACTCAAAAATATGAATTACAGTCTTAGACGGCGTCATTTAAAATGGGATGAAGACTGTAAAATTTAAGGAAGATAATTCAATTTCAACCAAATTATATACAATTCACTCATTAGAAAAGTTGACCGTAGAATGAGGAGAAAAATAAGTGTTAGTAGGTAAGTATATAATACAAAATGTCTTAATGATTGATGGAATTAAAATTTTTTATGTATAGTATGTTAAGATACACCATCACATCACTAATGTGTAAAATTATTGTGTATTTTACACAATCGTTTTATAAAGCCACATCACCATATTTCCTTTCTCTTCCCTCTTTCTCATTTCATTAACGAATCAATCTATATTAAGTAAATTAATAAAAATTATGTGGGGTTCAAGTATAACGTTGGTTGGTTATTATTGGGAAATATATTTTTACACAAAATGTATAAAATAACAATTGGAGTTAAAAATAAATAATCTAAATTTTTTTGTGTAAATCTATTATGACACATTAAATTTACACAAAAATATATATAAATACACAACGATTGGAGATGCTCTAATAGTGTAAACGTTATACATGGTTTTGATGTTATCTTCTTCAATTGGACAAAGATTTTACAATATAAAAAAAAATTCTACCTAAAAATGGAAGAGATTTTTTGTATAATTATTTTACAATAAAGGAAATATTTCTATATAGAGAACAAAATCAATCAATCCAATTAAGGAAAACGAGTTGCTCAAGTATAGTAGCGACACAAGCAGCGCCTAGATTCTTACAAAAATGAATAAATAAAATACTAAAAGTATTATAGACAACTATGACTTATGAGTTGTAAAATTGTTTCAAGACACTTCTGGAATTGGAATCTAATGGTTAAGAACATCCTTACTAGCATTTAAAATTGAAATAAATCTGTAGCAAAGATTTGAGATAAGTCAATTTAAAGCTGTCACCAATTTAATGCCGTCCATACCTTTCAAAAATTATTTTAAAAAAAAAAAATTAAAGCTGTCCGTGAATAACGTGACCATCAATCAATCCACACACTCACTTCATTGCAGCTAATACCGGTTGATTTCTCCACAAGCATACAAATATTATATATATATATATATATATATATATAATATTTGTTTGCTTGTGGAGAATATATTTGCTTGTGGAGAATATATATATATATATAAAATACCGGTTGATTTCTCCACAAGCATACAAATATTATATATATATATAATATTTGTTTGCTTGTGGAGAATATATTTGCTTGTGGAGAATATATATATATATATATATATATATATTCTCCACAAGCAAATATATTCTCCACAAGCAAACAAATATTATATATATATATAATATTTGTATGCTTGTGGAGAAATCAACCGGTATTAGTTGCAATGAAGTGATCTGATCGTTACAAAATGAAGAAGAAATCAGTAATGGATATATCGGACGCACCCTTTCTTAGTACATTGTTTTGAGAAGATTTTTACTACAGTTAACGCCTCCTAATTAGAGTTTATTATACTTATCTTTAATTTGTTTTGAATTATTACAATTACTTACTTTTGAATTAAATGTGTCGAATAAAATGACCTGTGCCTATAGTTTCCTTGGCCACGAACACGACATCTTTAGATTAAGGATCTATTAGATAAATATTTTGTTTTAACTCGAAATAAAATAAAGTGTTTTGAATAGTAATCAGAAGCATGTTTAGTAATAATTATTTGTTATAAGATTTTTGAAAACAAAAATATGAAAATATTTTTTGGTGTGTCCGATATATCATTTACTGGACTCATTCAAATCATATGTATATGCGTACCATACTTACGATTGAGACTTATATACATTATGCCGGACACGTCCAATATCTATTCCCTATTAAGCTCTTCATTTGCATCACGTGCTATTGCAAATTCAAACTATCTATTCCCTATTGAGCTCATCATTTGCATCACGTACTGTTGCAAATTCAAACTTGGGCTTAGCGTTTTTTTGGTCCAGACTAGAACTATTCAATGCATTGACCCGGCAATCTTTCCACAATTGTCTTTTTAGAATGACTATTCAACTGCTGCGTAAAATGAATTCCCAGTAATCGACTTCTTGTCAAAGACTGAATTTGCACATCATGCAATCTTACCGAACCTTTATTATCACTGATAATTATAATGTTTTCAACTTTTCACAACCCGAAATGTTTTATATATCCAAAAGTTTAAATAAATGTGTACATGCTCGTAATATTATAAAGATCGTATCATTCTAATGTTCATTGGTCATGTACCACCCGAATTGTTTGAAATTAACAAATTTAAAATTAATGAAAATTTGGTGCTGTAAGCATTCTCTTGATTGAAAAAACGTCTCATAGCCTCGTACTGTCATCAACTAACATATATGGCAGGCCTCAGGTGCATCGCAGTTAACAATTAACCTCCTTAAATTCATGAAAATAAGTTATAGTATTTTTTTTTATTTTTTTTTTGAAAATTGGAGTGTTGAGACTTTGTTGTGACTAATTCACAAAATTGGTGCAAAGCAACAAAAACGAACGCATCGCAAATTCAAATAGCCATTTTTTTGCAGTAGGACGTAAACGTGAAGAGCTTGTTGTAACAATTAAGTTAATTAACCTCCTTACTTTTCCTGTGCATGTGAATGGATTACCCAAAATAAATAAATAAACAGTTACTCTGAAGCATGTAACAATCGATGTCAGCCACATATACTCAGCTGAAAGGATGTGCACAATTTTGAGAAGGATAAAAAAATAATAATAATAAAATAAAACAAAAATTAAAAGTTTGTAATGTTAAACGTTATTTAAATTCTTGGATTATAATACTTTTTTCTTGCATTATAATATTTGGAAATTAAACATTAAAGCACGAGCGAAACTGGTTTTAAATTTTTTTAATTTGAGTGACTTACATTTGGTATTTAGCTTGGAATGAGCTACTATTTTGTCCTTATGCACTGCTAAACAATATAGGAGTGTAATTTTATTTTACCGGAAAAAATAAAACAAATTATAATTTTATATTTCTTTTTGTTGGTAGTACATACATGCACCTTCTTAGAATGAAAATGTCACGTTTTAGCTTAACACGTTTAGATATCATTCGCTTCGTTCTGATCAATTCGTAATCATGGTTTTTAAAATGCGTTTAGAAAAATAAAGAATGTACATATATTTATATATATATTTTAAAACGTCACTGTAATGGCAATTAGAAATTGTAAAAATGATGTTAGCTTTTGATTAATTAAGTGGACTTATAATGTTAAAATAATGAAATTTAATTCTGTTGGTTATGCAACGTTATTCCCTTGGGATATTTCCAAGAAAGAAAGTCAAAAATCTCTTGCTTTTATATGACTAAACTTGAAATTTAAGGACTAAACTTGAAATTTAAGGACTAATCCATGTTTTGCAAATGCAACCACCATACCTAAACTTCGAAAATTTAATCAATAAAAAAAGTCAGTCTTTTGCCACCTTTACAAAATGTCTTCTGTCGTGCACTCATATTCTAATAATCAGTATTAAACATATTCTAGCAACATTTTTATATATGTATATTTTATAGCAACAAATATTTTTCTTTATCAACTAACTTGCCCAGCTATCATTTTAAGACTTAAAAATATTTTAAAACGTCACTGTAAACGTATGGTCGATCAGTCCAATTTGGCTCCCAATCATGCATGATTTAGAGAGATGATGAAAGATGGAGTCATTCGTCGTCAGAGTTTTTCTAAATGGAAACTTGCCTGTCCAGTCTTGGATTATTAAAGTCTGGACACGTTTTAAAAAGGTTATCATGAGAGACTTGGCACATTGTTTTGGATCATGACCAGTTCAGCTTGGCGTGTGTGTGTGTTTGTGTGTGTAAATTGTGTATATATAAACAAGTCGGGTCATTTGTTCATCATATAGTTTTTCGAATTAATCAAGAATTTAATTAAGAAGACATGCGTTTGGTTATGGAGTCCATTAAAGGCATCCTCGTTGCACCTCTGCGTCAGTTCATCCATAAAGACTTTCATGAAGTTGTTGCAAGGATGACTCTCATTGACAGGCTTCTCTTTCTGGTAAATTCACCCATGCATGCTTCAAATTCCAGCTCTTTATATATATATATACATATATAGGTGCTAACTGTGCTATTTAACATCTGACGATCCACAAACTTCACACATGTGATTGTACACACACGTATGGTCCGATATATATCCATGTTTAGTAATGCATGGCTTCTTCATTAGTTTTGTTTTTTTTTTTTTGGGCAAAAAAAAAACCGAAAAAATTAACTTTGATATTTTTCTTCTTTATTTTGAAGAGTTTTTTTTTTTTTTTTTTTAAAATTATATTAATTCTAAAGTTATGTTCGATAATATAGAATTGATACTTTAAAATTAGAATTAAAAAAAAATTTGATTTGAGTTACAATATATTAATTTCATTTTACCGAACATAGCATAAATATATATTTTGTTATTCTATCAACACATGCGAGACGACTTAAGTATATTTTCATTGATGATTGACAATTTTGTTTAAATTTGAATGCAGATCCTCCACGCTGTTGATAAGTTGGGTATATGGCCTCGGCTACCTGTGTTCTTGGGACTGATTTATCTGGCGATCCGTCGACATCTTCATCAAGAATACAACTTGTTTAACGTCGGAACAACTCCGGTTGGTGTTCGATTCAACCCCTCAGATGTTCCTTTTAGGACAGCTGATGGGAAATTCAACGATCCATTCAATGAAGTCGCCGGCAGCCAAGGAAGTTTCTTTGGCAGGAATGTTCTTCCTGCTGAAGATGGAACCAGAAAGGTTGACTCACACACCCTAATTAACTAGTAGTATAAGATTAATTAATCGAAAAAATTAAGTTATTTTAAAGTAAAATATGAAATGATTGTATCCTTGAAAGGGATTTTAAAAAAAGTTACATCAGTATTAGTATATCTTTATATTTAATATTAATAGTTGTCTATGTCATGACACTTATCATGAATTCTATGTTATTTTATTTTAAACATGTATAAATTATTAAGTCTTGCATCTAATCGTTTAATAGAGGATCATATCATAATTATATAATCAAATTTTCATACTAAAATTCATTTACGTCACATGAATCACTCAAATTTTACACACTTTTTTTCTTTTGACTTTACTGGACCAAATTACACAATCAGCTTTAACAGTAGCATATAATTTTATTTATGTTATTTTGAGATAATTTTTTAAAGTAAAATCACTTTAATATTGGCTATATAACAATGTAATTTGTGCATTATAGGTATATATATATATATTCCAAAATATGATAATTTAAAAGAGAGTTTATGACAAGTGCCATGAGGTGAACCTCATAGTAACATTGATTTTATAAAACAAATGTAAAATATGTTTAATTAATAAATGTGTCTGATTATAAAAATCTACAAATAGCTTACCAGAAGTCAACAATCATATGAAGTTCCCATTGTTAATTTCCCACTGAAAATGGCAGATAATATATCCAATTAATTTATTGATTTTAAAATTTATTTCATAGAAGTTGTAATTTTAATATTTTTTTGATTGATTGTTTTATTATTATTTAATTTTGGTTTGATGTTGAGAAAATGCAGCTTATGAAGCCGGATCCAATCGTGGTTGCCACAAAGCTTTTGGCACGTAGAAAATTTGTGGACACAGGAAAGCAATTCAACATGATAGCAGCCTCTTGGATCCAATTTATGATCCATGATTGGATCGATCACATGGAGGAAACTAAGCAGGTCAGCTATATATCTACACATACTGCATTGTATATATGTACATGAACATTTTTACCAAAAAATTTCAACAACGTGATTATTTACGTTACACGTAAAGTTTATCTAAGATCGATAATAAAAAGTTTAAAAGTTTGGACAATTTTAGTTGGGGTGATGTAAGATTCCACTCTCACATAATCCCGCTCAAAATTACGTTAATAGTGAGCTCCACACTTCCTCTCTCATATTACTGATTCAGAAAATCAGAATTGTACGACTTTCAAATGATATATGATTTCCTTTTATCTAATTTTGTCATTACGGTGGTTTTCTTTACGTGTTCTTAATTTTTACTTAATTTATGACTTAGATATTCTTGTTTTGATCTTAATTTTATTTATCTATTAATGTTAGCACTCATTCACGTTTTAATTGAGCAATATGATTATTGTAGGTTGAGCTTACTGCACCTAGAGAAGTTGCAAATCAGTGCCCTCTCAAATCCTTCAGGTTTCAGAAGACAACAGTGGTTCCCACAGGTTTTTATGAGATCAAGAGTGGTCACATAAACATACGAACACCTTGGTGGTAAGAAAATTATTAAAATCTATATCTACTATAATTCCATAATCCCTTTAATTTCCACTTATTAACCTCTTGATTAATAATTATATGATCACATAATAACTATACCCATAATTTACTCAAGTGAATTAGGTTTCTATAAGCGGCTATTTATTAATGAAATTTCTTGTCTTTTTATAAATAAAATATATATATATAGGTTGACCGTTGACCTAATTCAACTCTGAGGACGGCTTGAATGCCATTGACTCATATTATATATATATATTAAAGAAGTTGGGCCTGGAGGCCCTCTTTGTATCTGTTAGGTTTGGGTGTATTGGACCTGTCTTGTTAAAAGCTGTATAGTTCTTTGGGTTCTGTACTCTGGCCCAATCACATAAGATACATATTATTACATATCTATACATATTGCTTGAATTTCTAAAATAAAATTAAAAATTTTAAAAATGAGTGTTGATTGTGAATGTGACAGGGATGGAAGTGCTATTTATGGTAGCAATGCAGAGAGGTTGAAGAAAGTGAGGACCTTCAAGGATGGAAAGCTCAAGATATCGAATGTCGATGGGCTTCTCCTTCATGACGAAGATGGGTCTGCTCTGTCTGGAGATGTTCGTAACAGTTGGGCTGGTGTGTCCACATTACAGGCCCTCTTTGTCAAGGAACATAATGCAGTCTGTGATGCCCTCAAGGTACACCAATTCTACACTATTCCAAAATAAGTGTTTGTCCCAAAATAAATGTCATATTTTGGTAACCGTACCACTTATTAGTCATATTTCACTCATTATTGACGATTTTGTTGTGACATTTCAGAAAGAATACCATGATTTGGATGATGAAGATTTGTACCGTCATGCAAGACTGGTGACTTCGGCTGTGATTGCAAAAGTTCACACCATTGATTGGACTGTGGAACTTCTCAAAACCGACACATTACTTGCAGGAATGCGTGCCAATTGGTAAACAATAATTTTTTATTTAAAAAAAAAAAAAAATTCGAAATTGTTGTCAATTTATTATAATCTTCTTAATTAAAACAAGGGATGTGAATTAATTGGAAAAAAATAATAAATAAATTTCAGGTATGGATTGTTGGGAAAGAAATTCAAGGATACATTTGGACATGTTGGTGGATCCATTCTAGGAGGGTTCGTGGGCATGAAGAAGCCAGAGAATCATGGGGTTCCATATTCATTAACTGAGGAATTTGTCAGTGTTTATAGAATGCACTCACTCCTACCTGATAACCTCCTCCTTAGGGACATCACAAAAGCACCAGGACCCAACAAATCTCCACCATTAATTAAAGAGTACAGCTTTTCTCCCTATATCATCATCATCAATTGAATTATATATGTGTGTGATATATATTATATCTCTCACAATTGTATACAAATTTCAGGGTTCCTATGGTAAATCTGGTTGGTCATGTTGGAGAAAAGACCTTATCAGAAATTGGATTCACAAGACAGATGGTTTCAATGGGGCACCAAGCAAGTGGGGCCCTTGAACTTTTTAATTATCCAGTGTGGATGAAGGACCTTATAGCCCAAAATGTGGACGGCACAAATAGACCTGACCACGTTGACCTAGCAGCTCTTGAAGGTATGGCTCTGTTCAAGTTGATTAAACTAGACCGTTGATTAAGTGGGTCACCACCATATGTTGTGGAGTTTGAATTGATCGTACGGTTGATGTTGCAGTTTATAGGGACAGGGAGAGGAAAGTTGCTAGATACAATGACTTCCGTAGGTCCCTCCTATTGATACCTATATCTAAGTGGGAAGATCTAACGGATGATGAAGAAGCAATCAAAACACTTGATGAAGTGTACGGTGATGATGTGGAGGAGCTCGATCTGCTTGTGGGCCTCATGGCAGAGAAGAAGATCACGGGTTTCGCCATCAGTGAGACAGCTTTTATTATATTCCTTCTTATGGCATCAAGGTATACAAACTACCGATTACAGTCAATGCTAAACACACACACACACACATATATATATGCGCTTTTGTGTATGTGTATATACTAATATATATTGCATATACAATTCAGGAGACTAGAAGCTGATAGGTTCTTCACAAGCAATTTCAATGAAGAGTCATATACAAAGAAAGGACTAGAATGGGTGAACACCACAGAGAGCCTAAAAGATGTGATTGATCGCAATTATCCAGAAATGACAGATAGATGGATGAACTCGTCCAGTGCCTTCTCTGTTTGGGACTCAGCTCCAAATTCTCCCAATCCAATTCCCCTCTATTTTCGTGTTGCCCATTGAACCACAACATTCACAACTATTTACGGAGATGTAACTCTTAAATAATTGAACTATCGTGTTGTAATCATAGTAAATTGCATTGCTCGAGTGTTTGTAAGAAAAATACTATTTGTAATTGAATAAATTATTTGCAAATTTGTACGTATTCTGCAATTCTACAAAGTTTCATAATTTCTCTTGTTCTTTGTCGTGTTGGATGTGTTTTTCAGCAATCTATTGTTAGATATTTCATATTTGGCGCTTTTTTTTTTTTCAATTGTTATATATATATATATATATATATATATATATTTTTATATATATATATATATATATATATATATATTTATCGTTGTAAGAAAATTTAGATAGAGAAATTGTTGGAGATGATCAAATTCACAAAAGCATCACAATTTTAAAAAGTAATTTAATGATATAACTATTTCATTTTTAAAAATTCTAACTCATATTGATTTCCTATTTTCACAAAAGAATAGTTGTATGTTTAATAAAATAGAAAATTTAACCCATCGGTGCTATTAATCTGCTTCAATATTTTTCTTGGTTGGCTTTATTTTATATATATTTAAAATTAAAAAATTTAAAAAAAATCTTCTAGAAGTGACTCCATAAAATTCAAACTTTCAACTTTTAAAATGTAACGTGCCATTAAACTATTGGTTTCGCCATCAAACAGTAATTGTAATAAAATATTTCAAATAAGTCTAAAAAGATTTGCACAAATTGACACCTTAAACAATAAGAGATGGCCACATGCATCATGCTACTAAGGAGGTTTTTCTCTCATTGTACCAAAAATGCAACGCCACTCTGTAGCAAACACATCAACTGAATGTCCAATATATATATATATATATATATATATATGAATTTTATTCATTAAAATAAATAAATAAATGTTAAAATAAATAATTAAGAATTTTACTCCTGTTCTTTACAACATTACTTGAACAACATATTTGTCTAATTTGAAACATGATTCTCTTGTGATTGAAAGAAAAAGACTCATACTGTCATCATGAACAAATATAAATTATTGCAGCCCTGACTTGCATGGCAGTGAACAACGTTGTGGCAATTATTATATTATATGACTGCTGTATTTTTACCCTCTTTTAACTTTACTGCAATCCCGAGAATCTTGTTTGAAATTGACTATTGTTGATATTGTTGGATCAAAATATAATGTTGAGAATACTTACTAACGTTGTTGAGGTCGAACATATAACTTTTGCTAACAACCACATAAATTCGATCATACTATGCTCTCATCTAGCTCGATCTCACCGAACCCTCAAATGGTCCCCTTGCTCTTCAAATGGGCGTGGACCATTTGGCTCTGGTTAATACACCTCTTATAAATATTAATTAATGCATGACAATTGACAAAACAAGAGAAAATATTCAATTATAGCTCTTTGTGAGTCGCTGTGGGACATCCACAATAAATGTGAATAGACCTCACGAATAGGGACACAGAAGTGTCGGTTGTTAGACCCTACATGTGAATGTTAACATATTCCAAATGCAAAATAGCTAGCTAGCTATTTAGGACCAGTTTTATCTTATTTGTATGGTTTAGATAGCTAGCTCTCTGTGTGCCCTTTGGGGGTTGTTTGTAAGGTTCTTTTTGATCAATATTGTACTTACTCTTTTATAGGGAAAAAAAATCATTTTTGGTCAGTACAATTTTGCCAAATTATACATAGAGACAATTCAGATGATCCAAACTTACCTTGATCAGCGAGTGTAAAACATGGAATTTAAACATTGAAAAATGAAAAATAAAAATCTTGGCCACGTGGCACAATGTTAGTGATGAACAACAATTCAGCTTGGGTCGTGTTGCATGTCTCTATATAAAGGGAAGTCGAGGGAGTCATTTGTTCATCAAAGTTTAATTTCTAGTCGATCAAGAAATTAATTAAGAAACCATGTCTTATATTGTTATTATAGGGTCCATTAGGACCATCCTCACTGCAGCTTTTCTGCAATTCATCCATAAGGACTTTCATGAAGCTGTAACGAGGATGACTCTCTTTGACAAGCTTCTCTTTCTAGTAAATTCACCCTTGCATATATGCCCTCTCTCTCTCTCTATATATATATGTGTGTGTGTGTGTATATATATATATATATCCATGTTTAGTAATGCAGCTTATTCACAAGTTTACAGATATATATATATATATATATATATATATATATATATATATATATACATGCAAATTAACTTTGATATAAGGTGTACTCTCCTCTCCTCCGAGTCCGCAATGAAGCCTCGCTTTATTTATTTTCAACCCTTAATTTCCGTTTGGAGGAGTACGTTTTCATTGTATTCTAAGTATGCAAATTAACTTGGTTTAATTTTGAATGCAGATGGTTCACACCATTGATAAGTGGGTTAGATGGCATCGCCTACCTGTGTTCTTGGAATTGCTTTATCTTGCGACCCGTCGCCATCTTCATCAAGAATACAACTTGTTTAACGTCGGAACAACTCCGGTCGGGGTTCGATTCAACCCCGCAGATTATCCTTACCGGACAGCTGACGGAAAATATAACGATCCATTCTGTGACTGTGCCGGCAGCCAAGGAACTTTCTTCGGCAGAAATATTCTTCCTGCTGTTGATGGAACAACACAGGTTGACACAAACCCCAATTAAGTACTATAATAAATATTAAAATATAATTATTTTAAAATTTCTCCTTAATTTCCTTAGTTTAGTATAATATTAGTGGGGAAAAGTGAAAACTAAACTTATTTTATAAAAAAATTAATATAATTAATTAATGATTGTATTTTTAGTAAGTTATATGATTAATATAATTAACTAAACTCATTCTATGAAACAAATGTATAATAGGATTTAATCTGATTATAATAAGTAACTCTTCTTAAAATCAAAGATTACTTCGAGCATCTCCAATATATATATATATATATTTATATATTGAATGGTGTTAAATACAAAATAATTTTACAATTGGTAACGTGATGGTATTTTTTAAGAGACTGCCGAAGATAAAGATTGTTTTCACATATTATTGGAGATGCTCTTATATTATTTCCCTTGTTCATTTACTCACCTGTTAATCACTTTAAAGATAATTTATAAACTAAGGAGACATTATATAAATCATTTTAAATTTAAATTTCACTTTGGATCAGACTGGAAGTCTAGAACATAAATTTAAGTGGAGTATCCCGGAAGACCTTACTCGTAGATTTTAAATTTTTTTTTTTTTTTTTTTTTCTGATAATTTTTTTTCCTCTTATCATCAGAGTATGCAGCTCATGAAGCCGGATCCAACTGTGGTTGCCACAAAGCTTTTGGCACGTAGGAAATTTATTGACACAGGAAAGCAATTCAACGTGATAGCAGCCTCTTGGATACAATTTATGATACATGATTGGATTGATCACTTGGAGGAAACTAAGCAGGTCAGCTAGCTACACATATTGAACTATATTTTTGCCAAATAATTTCAATAATGTGACTACTCATGTTAGGTAAAAGGTTTATTTAATCTTATTTTTCATTAATACTTTATGACTTAATTTATTTTTATTTTTTTAACTTGGCATTTATATGGGTAAGAACATAAAACCATACATAAAACAAAGAAACACATACAGCGTCAAAAGACACAAAACTAACACCCACTAATGTCAAAATCATAGCCTTGACAACAACCTATATCTAGAAGATGTCAGAAAAGTCAAGGATCGGACCCACCAACGAAAATAGAACATCGAAAATCTCAAGCCTAAACGTCATGGCTGACGTCAAGGGTTCACCCACCAACAAAAACCACAGACCGCCAGCCGGAGCCGACCCATCGAGGAACCGAGCACAACATCACAAGCACCAAAAACGTCGGACTCCGGCATAGTGCTCAGATGCATCACATCCACTCCACATTGCAAATTGCTCCAAAAAAATATGCTCCATAAATGATCATTTATGCAGATCCATCTCCGGCGACCCAGAAAACATCCATCCTCTGAGACAGCTCAGAACATTAGATCGGGAAACACAAACTCTCGATAAAATGAGAGAGACTCTGCTTACAAAGACCCTTGACGACTCCGAGGAGAAAAGGAACAGGATTATTGAAACTATGGGAGGTCAAAATGACACCTACCCACTCCCATCGAAGGGAGCAGGGAGAAAAACGGAGGGGAAGAAGGGGTGCGTTGCAGAGAGAAAGGGGCGACGGATCCCTCTGTGAACCGTGTAACAGGTGTAATTGTCAACTCTGGTGCTATCTGGAGTACTCGAATAATATAAGGTTGAAAAGTTATGTTAATTTCCAGGGATCGGAAAAAGTCCTCTTAGGGACCGAACAATGCTTGATTACAATCCTTTGGGATCAAACTTTTATTTTATGACTTAGATATTTATGTTTTAATTGGACAATATGATTACTGTAGGTTGAGCTTACTGCTATTTATGTTTTAATTGGACAATATGATTATTGTAGGTTGAGCTTACTGCACATATAGATGTTGCAAATCAGTGCCCTCTCAAATCTTTCAAGTTTTACAAGACAAAGGAGGTTTCCACAGGTTTTTATGACATCAAGAGTGGTCACAAGAACATCCGAACACCTTGGTGGTAAGAAAATTAAATTCTACATTTACTAGATATAAATCTATAATCCTTTACTTCCCACTTATTAGCCTCATGGCATCACTATTGGACAAAACTTTGCTGCAAATCCCTGCGGATGGTTCTTGCTACCCATAACATGATCACATCAATTAATTAGATCAACTTAATTCTATCTGCTATGAACACAGCTTGGATATCATACCAGACTAATGTATATAAATGTGTGTATATATATATATACTCAATCCGTCCCACTAAAAATGTTCCTCAGTGAGAATCTAACTTTTTAACAAAATAATTTTTTTTTTTTTTAATTGTATTTGTGGTGAATAAATTATCAATTTTACTCCTAGTAAGTTGACAATGACGTGATGGTTTATTTTTTATAAGTTTAATGTAAGAAAGTTAAATTGGTAATATTAAAAAAAAATTAGGGATGGCAACTGGCGGGTTTGGAGCGGGTTTGTCTAAACTCGTACCCGCCCCGTTTATTTATTGACAACTCCATACCCGCCTTGTATCCGC